TTGTATGGGTTTACCTCGATTTGTACTTTGTGCGCTCGCCATTTCGATAATCAAATTTCTGGCTCGCGTTCTGATTATGATTCTGACTCTGCGCTCTTGTTTCTCTTGATTCCCGTTGCAGGATATGACAAGTGATGGTGCTGTTACGTTTTGGATATTTTTGCTTTGTTTGATCGCCTCGCCGCACCTGGAGGGGGGCGAGGCCGGGAGGCCCGATGAGCTGCACATCGGCGGCATCTTTCCGATAGCCGGCAAGGGAGGATGGCAGGGCGGGCAGGCATGCATGCCGGCCGCAAGACTGGCGTTGGATGATGTCAACAAGCAGACGAACCTGCTCCCGGGCTTCAAGCTCATCCTGCACAGTAACGACAGCGAGGTGAGTGTAGCGCGAGTCCTGCCTAGAGTAAGCCCTACTTATAGTCCAGGTCCCCATACCGAGTCCTGGGACGTCTCTCCAGTCCTCTGGCGCTCTGTCACACACCCTAGGGTGCCACTTATTTTGTTTCGTTTTTGTTTCTGTTCACTGATGACTGGAGTGCCGCTACAAACGAGTATGAGTCTGGCTGGCTGAGCGCTGGCATTCATTAGCATATTTCTCCAGGGGACGGGCGGGGATACGGGGCGACCTTTTAACAGTTGCCAAACAGTTTTACTATGGTTCGCAATGAAGGGTATTATTTGTAACCGTATTTTCTACTCAGTAAATACTGTGCCAAGTCAACTGTTTGTTAGTTTCTTAGCCTAAGACCGAACATAAATTGAAATTGAGATTCAATTAGGACAAACTCACAATTGCGAAAAGTAGTTACATATACTGGTAGTCTTGACCTAATTGCCTGTGATTTGTAGTAGGAATTTAGTGTGTTAACCAATATTATATGTAAATTACAAGGGTAAATACCTGTTTAGGATTTAGGTTCATAAGAAGGTCTTAAAAGGGATTTGTGGTTCTTGATAAAATGTAAAAATATATTCGTAAGATCGCATTATTTTGTAATAAATATATATATATACCTCTTAAATTTAACACAAAAATCAATTGCTTGACATATTTTAATTTTATTTACTCCAGTTAGAACTTATATATTTAAAAGCGTGACATTATCTCATTGAAAATATGTTTATATATGTAAAAATAAAACAATAGCTAATAGGGCAGTCACTATTTATAAACTTCCCGCCATTTCGAAGGGCATACATCATGATAAATGGCCAGTAACAGGCCCCATTTTAGAGTTCTCCCAACTCGCACAGCCCAGCTAACTGGGCGCTATCAATGCCCCTCGGCGCTTCACTTTATGTAATATTTTTTATTTATTTTCATATTTTCCTCATTTATGTGTGTTTTCCATTTTAAGGATCTGCGGTACAGTTGTTGCGGTTTCGACTACTTTGGCTTTGGTTTCGGTTGAGGTTTCGGGGGCCGCTTCTGCCCTGCCTATTTATAAGCGCGAACCTCATTAGTTTTAAGTGAGCGAAAGCTTAACTACTTGTTTTGAGTTTTGAATGAGGTCACTTTGCCCCGGCCCAGCCGTAGCTCATCATTTGAGTTATTTTTATTCAAGGCTGCCAGGAGGGACAGACACTATACACTATACATATCCTAGGCCACACTCGCATCCACATCCACATCCACATCCATATCCATTCACTGGGAAGATGCGGACATACAGATAAGGGAAGAAGACGGTGAGAGCTGGAGGTGGATTCATCTCTGTTCCATGTCCATGTCTGCTCCGCTCCTCCGTCCTGGTTAGTTCGGTTCAGTTCAGTTCGCTTCGCTGGACTGAGCCGAGTCGGGCGCGTTATGTTTGTGGCTTAGGCAAACAGCTTCCGTTAAATTCTGCATAATTAGTTGCCATCTCCAGCACCCACACCCACATCCATGTCAGATGGCAAGCGACAAGCGGCAAAGGTCGCACGCAATGTTTGCTTTTGCGTTTGCCTTCGCCGCTGCCTTTTGCTTGACCTACTTTGATGTGTGAAATGTCCTAAAGAAGCCTGCACAGAGGCGCAGAGAAGAGAACAAAAAAATATAAACAATTCAGATAATGTTGGACTTTAAAAACTGAACTAACAAATGCCCTTTTAATCTATAAGATCAAGCAAAGATCTCACTTTTAATTTAAATTAAAATAAGCCATTTTTTAATTTCAATTTGTAACTTTGAAGTTTTAAATTTACTAAGCGTTTTAGTAAAAAATACTTGAAGCTTATCATAAACAGAAAGAAAGCTATGGTGTGGTTAATAATAAATAAACTAGAAGGTAATAGCTTTTACTTACTGAATAAATTTGTTCTCTTTATTTATTAATTAACAGCTGACTATATATAAACTAAGTATATTTGTTTTTCGCATTAAAAGATATAATTTTAATCTCTCGTATTTAATAACTTATAAAAAACACAGCATAAACTTGGCAATATATAAATTTTTAGGCTTTAAAGTATATCTTAAGGTAATAAACTTGAATAGATCTTAAAATGTATAAAAAATAACAAAGAATTAGTTTGATAAATAATTTAATTTGTAAAGTTTATGAATTGTCTTAACTTAAAATGTGTTTCCCTCTTTCTTTACACTACATCGAAAGTGTATAGAAAAAGAAATATTTAACTAGAGCGACCGCTTATAATGCGACATGCCTCAGGACCCCACAACACCCACACCTCGATATAAATAAGTGGGGGAGTAGGAGCAGGATAATACTTATGCATGAACAGGGACTGGACATGAAAGGGAAAGAAAAAACAATTAGAAAGGTTGTTTACACGCAAACCACGTAAGAAATATGAAAAGTGTCGTCAGAAGCAAGGAGAGAGTGGGTAGGAAAGGGAAACGAAAAGGCAAAAGGAAACGACAAACAGCGAAAACGAGGTTTCCATGTAAATGAATGAATGAGAGAATGAATAACTGAATGAATGAATCATTTATATGGTCAACATGAACGTAAATCGAAACTTTAGCCCAGGAAGGGAGCTAAAGGCAAGTTATGGTAATAATCGACCCCAACAATACCCGCCAAAATGAGTGGAAATGATCGAAAACAAAAACTTCTTTTGACTATTTAAAGGAGGTTTTAGGTCTCTACTAAATATAAAATTATGAAAAAATATATAAACTATTAACCTTTTTATTATAAGAATAAAAAAATTATAATAAATTGATTCCCACAATTTATGGTAGATCATAAAAAACAAAATAATGACCTAATTGCCACACATGACAAACAAATCATTTCGATAATCATTTTCCAATGAACACCAAGATATAAATTATAAGAAATATGCTATTAATAACTCCTTTAATGTCGCTGCTTAGCAGCCAACATAATCAATACCTTTGGTCAGTCATCAGGCGGCACCCACTTATGTGTGAATATTTATCGACGAGTGACGTAGAGCGTAATTTTCTTGGCATCTTCTGATATATAATAATTTACTTTCCCTTTCCGCAGTGCGAGCCCGGGCTGGGCGCCAGCGTAATGTACAATCTGCTCTACAATAGACCGCAGAAACTCATGCTGCTGGCAGGATGCAGTACGGTCTGCACCACTGTGGCCGAGGCTGCCAAAATGTGGAATCTAATTGTGGTGAGTAGCATTTGCATAGTACGAGGCCAGCATGGACATTTGAGTTCCTACACACGAAACCGAGTCTACGTAGATTTTGGAATGTCTTGGGGTACCTCTAAGCTTCAGTTCTGCAACATTACTAATGCTTTATTCCATTCGCAGCTATGCTATGGAGCCTCAAGTCCAGCCCTGTCGGATCGCAAGCGGTTCCCCACTCTGTTCCGCACCCATCCCTCGGCCACGGTGCACAATCCCACCCGCATCAAGCTGATGAAGAAGTTTGGCTGGTCCCGGGTGGCCATCCTACAACAGGCCGAGGAAGTCTTTATATCGGTATGGTATTCCCTGTACCCCCAAAAGCATTTCATTAATATTCAATATTATTTCAGACCGTAGAAGATCTCGAGAATCGATGCATGGAAGCTGGCGTTGAAATCGTAACTAGACAATCATTTCTTTCCGATCCAACAGACGCCGTTCGCAATTTGCGACGCCAGGATGCACGCATCATTGTGGGACTCTTCTACGTCGTGGCTGCCCGACGGGTTCTGTGTGAGATGTACAAACAGCAGCTATATGGCAGAGCCCATGTGTGGTTCTTCATAGGTAAAGTATACTTAAAATACTTGAATTCCAATCTCAAGCTTACCCTACCAACTTTTTTACCTAGGCTGGTATGAAGACAATTGGTACGAGGCCAACCTGAAGGCGGAGGGCATCACCTGCACTGTGGAGCAAATGCGGATAGCCGCCGAGGGTCATTTAACCACTGAAGCTCTTATGTGGAATCAGAACAATCAGACAACAATATCCGGAATGACTGCGGAGGAATTTCGGTAATGACTTTAATATAAAATGCATAAATTTATTCAATTATTTTATACCCAACTTATCCACAGACATCGACTGAATCAGGCTTTAACAGACGAGGGCTACGACATCGATAACGACCGCTATCCCGAGGGCTATCAGGAGGCACCGCTCGCCTACGATGCGGTTTGGAGTGTGGCACTCGCTTTCAACAAGACCATGGAGCGTTTGACAACTGGCAAGAAATCTCTGAGAGATTTCACCTATACGGACAAAGAAATTGCCGACGAAATCTACGCTGCAATGAACTCTACCCAGTTCCTGGGTGTATCGGTAAGAAAATTCTAAAGAATCTGAATGAAATTAAATATTAATTTGCTTATTTTATCATTGCTCAGGGTGTGGTGGCGTTCAGTTCTCAGGGCGATCGTATTGCCCTCACTCAAATCGAACAGATGATAAATGGCAAGTACGAGAAGTTGGGCTACTACGACACCCAGTTGGATAACCTATCCTGGCTGAATACCGAACAGTGGATAGGCGGCAAGGTGAGCATATATCAGTGGGCTTTGTTATATCATTCGAGTCGAATAAGGGTTATATGATAGACGAAAAATGTCTGACAAGGATAATAATCAAGGAGAAAAAGGTGATGATACCGAAAATGGGGGCAATTCAGGCACTGAAGGAGCCATTGAACCTAATCACAGCAAGGATCGCAAAAAGAGGAAGGAAGCTAGGAAGGCTAAAAAAAATATCGACGACCCTGACATGAATTATGAACGATCATCTGAGGAAGAGAAAGAAAAAATCTCGGACAGTCAAGGTTCTGCCCCCATAAAAGGCCAAGATCCAGAACTGATTGAAGTAACCGATGTTAAATTACTAAGGGAGCTCAAGGAGCAACGTAACTTGTATCCTGAATTCGTAAAAAGTCGCCAACCGGACCAGACAATAGATGAAATCAAAGGTCACAAGACAACAGGAACCAGCAAATTCCACAAAGATGATGCTGAAATTGATATGGTTAAGGACAAGGCGCAAGTCCGGCATAAGGGCATTATCACAAAATTTCATGGAATAGGTCTTAGAACTGCTAAAATCCCAATTCCAGATCCTAACCAAAGCAAAAAAACAATAAAGGAAAACACTGATGCTCCGAAGACAGAAATAGTAGCGAGTGGAAGCAAGCCATTGAAGTTTCCAATAGAGGAGTCCATCCCAGAGATCCCCGGAGATCCGCAGACCGTTCCCAGAATTCGACTTGTGAAAATCGGCAGAAGAAATAAGAAAACAAGATGTATAGGAGTAAACACGCTAATTAGCAGAAGACCCGAAAAAGTGGTCCCTCGTATTTCATTGCCCGAAGACCCCGGCATATATCGTGATGAAGGAACTCGGAGGGATGTAGGACAAAACACTAAGAAATTGAGAAAGTCGCGAAAGCGTTCAGCTCTGAAGCCCTCCGTTGAATCCGATGACCATCCCATAGACATAGGACCCACCCTTAACGAAGCCAGAGAGATAGGAGTTAACACAAAAGTCCTTCCAAAGGTGAAGGTGCCACCTATTTCCGAGCCATACAAGCATTTCAACGACAGGTATAGAGATATAGGCAGCCACGTAGACCACCCTTACAAGATCATTGACGATGGTACGAATGTTAGCTTTATGGAAACAATTAAAAGTAAAAGGAGCAACGTGGACGAGCTCATTGTGAAGTCGCCGCCGGAGATAGACCTATATAAGATCCATGAGAGAGGGGACGGTCGCACTTACTACCCAGGCTGTGAATATCATTTTCCGGGCACGAACACATGCCGTCGCCTCTTCTACAAGTTTCGTAGAAGGTATGAACCTCCTCCGATTTGTGACTGGCTCTTAACCCTTATCTTTGCCGTGTTATATATTACATTTGTTGTAATTTTTTCCATGGCTTGGTTCGATATCATTGCCAATGACGAGCCCCAGGGCAGGTCAATTGGCAAAATGGCTCAGCCGTTTGTGAACGTTGCTCCGGTTGGACGACACCCTAATCTCAGAACAATCTCTTTCGATCCTCGCAATGACTCGGATGTCTCCGTAAAGTACTCTGACATAATGAGGCTTTTACAGAAATACGACTACGAAAATGCTGGGAAAATGGAGCGCTTCGGATCCTGTACTCCCAGCAACAAGTTTGGCTATGCCAGCGGTCAGCCGTGTGTCTTTCTCAAAGTGAATCGTGTTCTTGGCTTTAAGACGGAGCCGTATACCCACGCTGATGAGGTATTCAAAAGAACCAACCTCAGCAACGACGAATATTTGGCTTTGAAGAGCCTATTGCAGGACAACAGCACATCGGAGGTGGATCGGCAGAATCGTACATGGATCACCTGCAGTACGGGTCAGCACAAGGATGTCCAGATTGCGTTTCATCCAGAGCCAGCAATCAAAACTGAATACACCGATATTGAGGAAGAATCGATCGTGTCTGAGGTAGGTACAGGTAAAAGGAAGACATTGTTTGGCCCAGAGGACCTGAATCGCATAGTGGCTTTGGAGATCAAAAATCTAAAGGAAAATGAGCAAGTCCACGTAAGCTGCAAGCTGTGGGCTCATAATATCCATCACGAGAAAGAGGATTACGGTCAAGTTGCATTCTATTTGGTCTTACTAGCTGATCAAAAGGGGGAAATATCTGAGAATGTCCTTAAACATCATGATGATTCATTGTAGGAATCAAAAGGGGTTTTGTAATAGAAATAAATGTTGTATTAGATATCCCTTAAAATATTGAATAATTACAGTCTGAGTTTTATTTATTTTAGGTTCCTCAAGATCGCACAATTGTCACACATGTCCTGCGAACAGTGTCCTTGCCACTGTTTGTGTGCATGTGCACCATCTCAAGTTGCGGCATTTTCGTTGCCTTCGCCCTGATCATCTTTAATATTTGGAATAAGCATAGAAGGTAGATTATTAACTTTTCTTTTTTTCAAGATATCCAACCAGTAACTTGATTTTTTTTATGTTTTCAGAGTAATCCAGTCATCGCATCCCGTCTGCAACACAATCATGTTGTTCGGTGTTATCATCTGTCTAATATCTGTCATACTACTGGGTATTGATGGGCGCTTTGTCAGCCCAGAGGAATATCCCAAGGTAATATACTAACTTTAAATACCTCCTTATATTATTTATAATTTAATTTGTTTAATTTTTCCCTTTAGATATGTCAAGCTCGAGCTTGGTTACTATCCACCGGTTTTACATTAGCATATGGTGCTATGTTCAGCAAGGTCTGGCGTGTGCATCGGTTTACAACAAAAGCAAAAACTGACCCAAAGGTTTGTTTGAATTTCATAAAATCATATATTTATGCATATAATAATGTTAATGTTTTGCAGAAAAAAGTGGAACCTTGGAAGCTATACACCATGGTTTCGGGCCTCTTATCAATAGATTTAGTGATATTACTCTCATGGCAGATCTTTGATCCGCTGCAGCGTTATCTCGAAACATTCCCACTCGAAGATCCAGTATCTACTACTGATGATATTAAAATACGTCCAGAGCTTGAGCATTGTGAAAGTCAACGCAACTCAATGTGGTTGGGTACGTACCTATTTCATTTTGTTATTAAGAAATTCCTTTATATAAAGTTATCTGGACTTTTTTTTCAGGTCTTGTTTATGGCTTCAAGGGCCTGATCCTGGTGTTTGGTCTCTTTTTGGCCTACGAGACGCGCTCTATTAAAGTGAAACAGATAAACGATTCACGTTATGTGGGCATGAGCATCTATAACGTGGTAGTTCTCTGCCTGATAACAGCTCCGGTGGGCATGGTCATTGCATCGCAACAGGACGCGTCCTTCGCCTTTGTTGCTCTAGCTGTGATATTCTGTTGTTTCCTAAGCATGCTGCTGATATTTGTGCCAAAGGTAGGATCAGTCCTTAATTGAATATAATTTGTACTTACTTCCATTTATTCTTACAGGTCATTGAGGTCATAAGACATCCAAAGGATAAGGCTGAATCGAAATACAATCCGGACTCGGCCATATCGAAAGAGGATGAAGAACGCTATCAGAAACTGGTTACCGAAAACGAGGAATTGCAACGATTGATAACACAGGTAAATCGAAGGACTAGAGTACTGGGATGTACATAAAAAGTCCGTTTATCCACTTTCAGAAAGAGGAAAAGATACGCGTCCTGCGACAGCGCCTCGTGGAGCGGGGTGACGCCAAGAGCACAGAACTGAATGGCGCAACTGGTGCCGCCTCCGCCGCGACAACTTCACAGCCCGGTGCCCTCATCAACACATCCGCACATGGCACGCCCGCTGCCACACTCGCAATCACACAAGGTGAGTACCTGGTTCCCAGCCTAGTTGCGAATCCAATCATTAGCCAGTTGCATGTGGTACTGATATTAGTATATTTGCTTTGGCTTGTTGTTCATAATCGTATTGTTCTCAATTGTTTAATTAGAAATTTTAGCTATTTTCGTGGGCATTGACACAATTGATTAGGAATAAAACGGAGTTCCAAGGTTGTTGGTTTATGATGTTATTGATTTTTAAAACAAGACACTGTATGCAATACAAATCTTTAAAACACTGCACGTTTTATAATATTTTGTCTGAATTTTGACACTTTTAAAAACCATATACACACAATACACCTTGTTTTCATAAATGAAACTTAATAATAAACACAAAAATGAATACAATCCAGGTGAAATCAACATTTGTAATACCACCATCTGCACTCTCTATACACTAAAGTATTTTGTTAGCACAGCACTTACCTATCACCTTAATTTTTATTTATTTTAAAGTGACATTAAATTACTTAAAATTGTATTTATTTTTCAGATACTCATGAGCATCGTACATGAAAAAACTTGTCAATTTCCTTTGCGTGATAGGTGAATTATAATGAAAAAATGTGAAATGCGAATAAGGATGCTAACGAAAATAGAAGATTTAATAAAGAAACGTACTTAATAAACTTTGTATCAACTTTAAGCTGAGCTAAAAGTGAATTAGTAGCAGCAATTTTGTAGCATAATGAAATATGTATTGTACCTTAAATGTATTTAGAATTAATATTAAACACAAAATACTTTTAACTTGAATGAAATCCAGCATTAGCATCTAAACTAAAAGAAAATTGTTTAGGCTTAAATGTTGAAAGGATGAAACCCAATATTGTAGGAAGTCAATAGAATACCTAAGAAACCTAAAGTTAATCATTTTTAGACGCAACACGGGAAGAATATGTATATTTGTGTGTTTCTTAGAAAATACTGTATTTTGTTTTAGGCGAATTTTAAGTTTGAACCTTTTTTGCTCAGTGCTGTCTCCTAGAGCTCTTTATACTATTTATACGCATAGATAAAAACACAGCAAGCACACACAGATACAACTTTTCCAAGATGGCGGCCTTTCCTGATCCTAAAAATATATGTTTCACGAGTGTTTTTTAAGCCAGGTCGCAATACAAACCAAACTCCTAGACTCCGGGAATCAAGCCGCGTATCTCGGTCCTTCTCAGCAAGGGATTCGGCTTGGTTCCTAATAGCTAAGTTAGCTTTAGGCACTTTGTATAGATCCATGTGTAACGTGTAAATGTGCACTCAACAACAAAAGTTTTAATAGTTTACATTACTGCAAATCGTACATAGCACAAATTGAATGGGAGGTATAGCAAATCGTAGATATTGAAAGGATATGTATACATGTAGCATAGACTAGTGTAGCATAAACCGTTAATATTATACTGTGGGTGGGTCGCGGCTCAAGAAACGTTTTAATTTTTATGTACTGTTATTTATAGACGAATTAAATTAAATGTAATGATACATTTTTGAACGTACTGTAAGTTCTAAAATCGCATTTATAAAGTATATATATTATACACGGAAAATGAGGAATGGAGAAACCGAACATAATTCAGCGCGTCGTTATATAGGAATTGACTTTATTTGAACTAAAGCAAAAAACTGAAACCTATTGAAAAATATGATGAATCCTGTCACTTGCATATTCTCACTTACTCACTCACCCTTAACAAATTCGATCCTTTGTATCACACTTCATTTGAATAGAAAACAAACAAAAATATATTAAAACATCACAAAAAGAACATAAATCCATCTCAGAAAGTGCTATAAGAACATACATGGACAACATCAAATTCCTACGAAATGAAAGACTTTAAAATCTAAGCCTTTGAATAAAAGGAGAAGAAAGTAAACAAATGAAAACTATACACGCGATAAACAAATATTACAAAATATATGTATATGAAATTTACACATGACAAAGAACATCTCTAGTACATTGATATTTGTTAAGGATCGTTGGAATTTGTAGTTTAATTGGATTGTATTTCATATACATAAATACATATAGCAGCGCTGTTAGGGTAGTCGTAAATCTCGATCATGTATATTGTATATAGAGCATTTAGCTGCGGCTCCTCCAGGACACAACATTCAACCACAAAGGCAACTGCAAACACAAACCGATCGAATAAATGCAAATAACTTGTTTTTGAAATCCGAATTAACAACTTGCTTTGAATCACAACCCAAAGAAGAACTTTTAGTAAATTAAGACACACTTTAGCCAAGCTAATTGTTGTATAAATACTAGTAAATAGAAAGAGCAAACGTAAAATAAATCCAAGTTTATTTCAAATAAAAACCGAAACAGAGAAGAAAACCAAATCTACTGTTAGTGACAAATTAAAAGAGAACACAAAAATGGTAGCAATATGCAGGAAAAACAAAAGGTCAAAGTAAAGAAAAACTCGATATGTTCTTATGAATGTAACATTAACGAATTAACTTAAAGTTTAATAAAACGGAATAAATGAGAATTTTACTGAATAAAAAAAAAAGGAAAACAAAACAAAATGAAGTTTAAATTCAAAATTATTTAGGTAAGGGGTTTGATTTTACCAATTTAATCAATTTTATGGGAAAATATATTATTTTGTAATTTATTTTATTTTTTAATTTATAAAAATCTGTAAAAGAGTCTTGGAGAAAAATGAAATAGTATTATTACATTTACATTTTATAATTTTTCTTTTTATTATTTCATTTCTTTTTTATTTTTTATTTTTTATTTCATTTATAATTTTCTTTTATAAAATTAAATAACCCACCTTAAAAAACCAACACATCTTAAATTCCTTATGCTTCCCAGTACCAGTTAGCTAAATGTCTGAATACTTAATAAAATCGTGATGTGCCACGCGCTTGTTCTGTATTTATAATAAGGAATCAACAACCCTTATTAAAATATTAACCGCATAAATTATTGTATGCAATTTTAATAAGAATGATTGCACAGGTCGGCAACAAATCGGCTTTTTTTTCTCATTGCCACAAGGCTAAATGCAAAAGCCTTTGGAGAGACCTATGGGGAAGTACACACATCAAGCTACTTAATCACAGAACTTATACTAGAAAGTTAATATTAATTCTAGGGTGGAAGAATACAGTACTTTTAAATTCATTTGCGGCTCCAAGCTGAGTGATAATCGATGACCCATTAGACCCACTCTGATACCTGGGTTCACTGTACATTTGATTTTATTCCCGATACGCCTTTTAGGAGAGAAGCACTCTGCCGAAATCGGACATCTCCCGAGTATTTTTAAAATATATTGCCGAATAAACATGTTTTTCCTTCCGCTGTTGCGATGCTAATTTTAAGGCCCAGCCCAGATCATGAGCTGCATCTTTGGTATAACAGATTATACCAGCAGCTGGCCGATCCGAGCTTAAAAGCTCAACTCAACGTATCTTCGAACATATTAAGCCCGACTTCAGTCCAAGCTCTTGCAGTCAGCGTGCTCAGCTCGCAGCGAACAGCGGTGGTAAATAGCTTGCAAAGAGGAATCCAGAAGATACATTTGTATCTACCGAAGACCAAAACACCAAAATGACTTCACTGAGGTTGAGTTTGAGCCTGGGCCTTGTCTTGTGTCTGATCGGCATTTTCAGCCAAAGTGCAACGGCCAAGTTAGAGGAGAAGTTCTCGTGGAAGCAACTGGCCTTCGATTGGCCCACTCCGGAGGCCGAGGCGGAGGCCAAGTCAAGTGGCCACTACATCGAGGAAAATAATCTGCCACTGGGCGTGGAGCGCTGGCAAAATAGAATCTTCGTCACTGTGCCAAGGTAAATTACCATATTCAAAACCGAAAGTCAAATCGTGATTACCTTTAGTTATAGTTGTTTTTTCTTATTTTTTTTTTAATTAATTTATTTTTTTCTGTTTGGTGTTTTTAATTGTAATTAAATGTCAAGCTAGACTTGCAAAAACATCGAGTGTCGACAAAACCGGTTTCCTGTTGGCTAGCTGAGCTTATACTTTGGTTTTCCTGTGTATAAGTCTATTTAGCCTTTCAAATCGCGGTTTCTAAATGCAAATCTCATCATGAACCAAATGTATAATTAATAGGAGAAAATATATGGAAAATTCTATAAAATATAATTAAAAACAGGTCAGCAGTGGCATTCTGTGATGTCAACAGGTTTCGGGGCTTACCCCCTATACGCTTGATGGGGAAAAATTTCGGCAGCTACTATGAGTAATCAAAACAATGACCACCGAAAACAACTCTATGAAGCTACTAACTAAATATAAACATTTTTAGGGGATAAACAAAAGTTTAAATGGGAAATTACAAATATTCTTGATATGCATTTCGGGTTAATATAGCCATATTAACTAAGCCTGTTTATCTAAAGAACGAAAAACATAACTTAAATGTTTAAAACTGAACGTTAAGTTCCTCAGAAAAGATAGTTTCATCTAAATGGCATGCCTGGGGGACTACCAGTACCTTATAGTTATTATTTACATTAATTAATTTACATTTTTATATTATTTTGTTCAGATGGAAGGCCGGTGTTGCTGCCACCCTTAACTACATCGACCTCGATTCTACTGAGAAGTCCCCTAAGCTGCATCCGTATCCCAGCTGGGATGCAAACAAGCTGCCCATCAGTGTCCAGCCCCAAGATCAGAAGACCCCGTCAGGTGGACGCCTGGATGCTGACAAGGCCCAAGATGCTGGAGTTCAACTGAAGGATAACTCCACCATTATTTCCACGTTCCGCATACAGGTGGACGTGTGTGATCGCCTCTGGGTGCTCGATACCGGTCTAGCTGACATTTTGGGAAATCCCAAGCAGATTACACCCAATTCGATTTTGGTCTTTGACCTGAAGACAGACACTCTTCTGCGACGCTTTGCCATTCCCGATGATCAGAAGAAGGATGACTCGTTCTTTGCAAATATTGTAAGTACACTGAATATAAATTTATAGCGATCTAAAAAACACTTCATGTGTAGGTTGTGGATGCTGACCGATCCGAGTGCCAAGATGCCTTTGCCTATATTCCCGATTTGGGTGCCTACGGCGTTATTGTGTACTCGCTGAGGAACGACAAGTCGTACCGCGTCAAGCACAACTTCTTCCACTTCGATCCGCTGCAGGGCGACTTCAATGTGGGCGGCGTCAACTTCCAGTGGACGGATGGTGTCTTCGGCCTGGCCGTGGGTCCCATGAACCCAGATCATTCCAAGGACATTTACTTCCATGCCCTGGCCAGCACAAAGGAGTTCAAGGTCTCGAACCGAGTCCTGCAGAACGAATCGCATGTGACTGGCGGCGACTCGTACTATGACTTTAAATATGTTGGTGACCGCGGAATGAATGGTCAGTCCACCGCCGAGGTCTTTGATCCCGAGACCGGCGTCATCTTCTACACGCAGGTGAACAAAGACGCCATTGCCTGCTGGAATATTAAGCGGCCGTACACTCCAGATACTCAGGGGCTTATCGATTCCGATTCGCACACTCTGGTCTTCCCCAATGACATGAAGATCGACAGCGAAGGCACCATCTGGGTGTTGTCCGACAAGATGCCCACCTATTTGTACAAGGAGCTCGATCCCTCGGCCGTCAACTATCGCATTTTGATGGGCCAAAACCGCGATCTCATCAAGGGTACACCGTGCGAAATGTGAGCAGGGTCTGTGACTTGTGCAATTTTGTATTTACATAATGACATTATTATGTTTGTTAGTAAGAGTCAGCTTAATAAACTATCGAAATGTAATTGGATCAGTGCAGTGGAGTCTCTAAGCTAGATGTCCGATTTAAGTAGATTGGCGGCCAGTTGAACCTTCTCGCCCGGCTTGAATGCGGGCATGCCCAAATACGGGCAGGTGGAGCAGCGGAAAGCGTCGCCCAGATAGCACTAAAAACAAACATTTGCAATAAGTAATCAGATATTGAAGGGGGAGTCAACTCTCACTCACATTTCCACAACTAGACTTGGCGTTCTCCGTGGCCGTCTTGCTCTGCTCCTTCTCACTCTCCAGCTCCTCGGCCAGACCGCAGGAACAGTTCTTGCATGCCTTGCGCTTGCCCGTGGTATTGCACACCCGCAAACCAGCCGGGTCCGGCTTTTGCTTGTCCTCCTCATCCAGCAGCTCCTCCTCATCGATAAGGTCTTCGTCGTCCCCACTGATCTTCCACACGTTCAAGGCACTGGCATTCTTTTTGGCAAACGACAGCCTGGCCGATGAACCCGTTTCATAGCCAGGCTTCTCGGCTGTCAGAGCATCGCCGGCATCTTCGCGGCAATTGATGAAACCGGAAAGCTTGACCTCCTGAAGCAGACTGCCAGCCGGTCCAATGAAGGACACCAAGTGCAGCTTGCCACTGGGCTTCAGCATGTGCAGCAGCTTTACGTAATTGTCGGTGAGCTGAGCGCATTCAATCACAATTAGGTCGAAACTGGAGTTGGCGTAGGAGGCTGAAAGACAAAGTAAAGGTAGATTAGACCTGCTGACTCACTGGATGTGAAATTCATCTGGCGCATTGCTTACAAAAGGACAGGCGGTGCACATTTTCCAAAGCCACCTCACCGCCAGTGGCTGCCTTTAGTTGCTCCACACGCTTGTCCAAATCAGCGCTATCAGTCCATATGTACAGGGATTTTTGAAGACCCTTGAATTGCTCCATTATTCTACTCGAAAGATCTATTGGTATTACTAGAAACAGTAGACGATCTGATAATCGACGGTATAATCGATAGGTTTCATTGTGTACCATCGATATATCGTGTAGCAGCATCGTATCAGTCTGGCTATAAAAAAGCTAAACTTTTAAAAGCAAAATAATTATGCTAGCTAATTAATTAATTAATTAATTAATAATTATTAAAATCTAATGCCTTTTCTTTTCATTCTAATAAAAACGCTAGACATATTAAAATAAATATCTAAAATGACAACACTGGCTTACAAATATTTTAGCATATGCGTTAGTTCCCACGGCCCTTCTTTAAAATTTACGAGTTACAAGGATATGGGTAGTTTGCATTTTAATTCAGTGTGCCAAACGTGTTCAAATAAAATCAATAAAAGCAATTAAAGAAATCGAACCCATTTTATTTTAAATGACATTATTTGAATATAAAACGTCTTTTTTGGAATATAAAATATAAATAATAATAATATACAAATTTTAAAATTAGTTTTCCAACGAATAAAAAAGATACAAATTCTAATTATTTAAGTTGTAAGAAAGGCCGTTTTAAGCCAATAGAGTAAGCTGTTTGGCTATAAAAATGCTAGTCGGTCTTCACTTGCCGAAAGTCGCAGACAGTGTTGAACAACGGCAGGCATATCACCGGTACAATCATAAATAAGCGCCTATCGAAATATCGATACAATATCAACATCCCCACACAGTTTAGTTGTAGTATTATAAATATAACCCAAGCGCTTAATGCAGCTTAAACAGAAGCCAGCCGCTTCAACCGCTGGTCGCTAGTCAAGTGCTTCAAGGAAACGAATATGTAAATACTCTATTCAGGGCCCCCACTCGAATTCAGCCGCAACAACAAAGCGAATTAGAGTCCGCGACGAAGAAGAAGAGAGTGCGTGAGAGAAACGACAGCTGCTGGCCGTGTGTTGGTGCAGGATAACAAATACAAAACATACAATAACAACAAAGCAGTGTCCAAAGTGCCAAACGAATTTGCCAAAAAAAAGAAAAGAAAAAAGTTAACCAATTAACCCAAACGGTCCAAAGCCCAGTTCGTTCATCAAGTTCCAATGCAAAGACCATGTGCATAAATGAAGAGCTACAGCCAATTTAATTTAAACGCCGCCGTCGCCCCGCCCGCCATTGCCTACGATAACGCAGCCGCAGCCGCCGCAGCAGCAGCAGTTGCTCAGTCACTTAATCAAGGCTCGCCCCTTGATCACAGCCATCACCAGCAGCAGCAGCGCCAGGACATGCCGCACTTTGGACTTGGCACTGGTCCGCAGCCGCCGCCACCGCCTCAGCAGCTACAAGTGCACCACCAGCAGCAGCAGCAACAGCAGCAACAACAGCAGCAGCAGCAACATCAACAACAGTTGCAAATGTCCATGCTGCCAGGTCCATACCGGCCGCACATTGAGGAAAAGAAACTGACCCGAGATGCCATGGAGAAGTACATGCGGGAGCGCAACGATATGGTCATCGTGATACTTCATGCCAAGGTAAGAAGCTTGGTCGGGTTAAAATATTGTCTTTACCATCTCCGGATGTCTGTAATGAACTCAGCAAGTTGCACGCAGTTTTTCTTTTTAATAGTAGGAGAAGTATGTAGCTAGGTTCTTAGAATTAAAAATGTTTATAAATTATTTTAATGAATTTCAAATTATTTTAAGCAGCAAAGCGCTAATGCTAGTTATAATTAATTGATTCTTTCCTAAAAAAATCTTTTTAAATCCTTTTTAAAACCAGAAATGTCAAAGAAATCAATTTCAAGAAATTATAAGATATTTCCGGGCAGTTCTTAATCAAATACTAATGTCTAGAGAAAGAATATTTAATAGAAAATGGATAAACTAATTTAAATATTAAGATGTTAAAAGAAAATTTAAAAATTCAACCCTTGATCCACTTAAGAACTTTAAATTTAAAATATCGCTTGGATACAGGGATTTCTATTCACAAAATTAAAGTTCCCTAAATCCCAGGCAGAATTACTTATCTTATCATTCAGTATTTGGAGGCGCTAGTCTCTGGTGTCCACTTTAGGGTGTTACATTTTTGCGGTTTTGCAAAGGCAAAAAGCAGAGACAGAAACGAAAATGGAATAAAATTGTCGCGGTTGCCTTTTAGCGGTTGGCGATCTTCAAGCGGCCGACTGCCGTCAAATGCGAATCCTTCACACTCCACTGCCCACAAATTGAGCAACGCGAGCCCCGGTCCAGTACCGGCCTGGAGTCCGCAATGACAAATAATTGAAATTAATTACAGAAAATTAACAAAGCTGCATTGCTTGCGGTTTGATTTGATTTGTCGATTTGATCTGGATGCCAATTTGTGCTAATTGAATTCCATTCCTGCACCATCGTGTGTGTGTGTTTGTGTTTTTGTGTCTTTCAGGTGGCCCAAAAGTCCTATGGCAACGAGAAGCGATTCTTTTGCCCACCGCCTTGCATCTATCTGTTCGGCAGCGGCTGGCGGCGGCGTTATGAGGAGATGCTGCAGCAGGGCGAGGGAGAACAGGGGGCACAACTGTGCGCCTTTATCGGCATCGGTAGCAGCGACCAGGATATGCAGCAGCTGGATCTCAATGGCAAGCAGTATTGCGCGGCCAAAACCCTGTTCATCTCGGACTCGGACAAGAGGAAGCACTTTATGCTGTCGGTGAAGATGTTCTATGGCAATGGTCACGACATCGGTGTCTTCAACTCAAAGAGAATCAAGGTGATATCCAAGCCGTCCAAGAAGAAACAGTCGCTGAAGAATGCCGATCTGTGCATAGCCAGCGGCACCAACGTTGCCCTGTTCAATCGCCTGCGCTCCCAGACCGTGTCCACTCGGTATCTTCATGTGGAGAACGGACACTTCCATGCCTCGTCCACTCAGTGGGGGGCATTCACGATACACCTGTTGGACGACAATGAGTCCGAGTCGGAGGAGTTCCAGGTGCGCGATGGCTACATTCACTATGGGGCCACCGTTAAGCTGGTTTGCTCGGTCACTGGAATGGCCCTGCCGCGTCTTATCATCCGGAAGGTGGACAAGCAGATGGCCCTGTTGGAGGCCGACGATCCCGTTTCACAGCTGCACAAGTGTGCCTTCTATATGAAGGACACGGATCGCATGTATTTGTGTCTGTCGCAGGAGAAGATTATCCAGTTCCAGGCCACTCCCTGTCCCAAGGAGCCCAACAAGGAGATGATCAACGACGGCGCCTGCTGGACAATCATATCCACGGACAAGGCCGAATACCAGTTCTACGAGGGCATGGGTCCAGTGGCGTAAGTAAACTTATTCCTTTTTATTATTAGTAAATCTAATCCTGAATTTCGCATTTGCCAGTTCCCCTGTCACGCCAGTGCCAATAGTTAACTCACTGAATCTTAATGGCGGCGGCGATGTGGCCATGCTGGAGCTCAGTGGCGACAATTTCACGCCCCATCTGCAGGTGTGGTTCGGCGATGTGGAGGCGGAGACCATGTATCGCTGCACGGAGACACTCTTGTGTGTCGTTCCCGAGATTTCCCAGTTCCGTGGCGAATGGCTTTGGGTATGTGTGCTTGTGTTTGTAAAAACAACTTGTACTTGATTAATTCATTAATTAATTGCTTCATTTCGCAGGTGCGTCAGCCCACACAGGTACCAATTTCGCTGGTGCGCAACGATGGAATTATTTATGCCACGGGACTGACCTTTACCTACACGCCAGAGCCTGGTCCGCGGCCCCATTGTAATAATCAGACTACCGAGGATGTGATGCGGACACGGCACAATAATAATAACAACAACAACATCACTAGCATTAGCAACAACAACAGCAGCAGCAGCAATGCAGGTTCACCTGCCAGCGGCAGTATGCAACAGCAGCAGCAGCACCAAACGCTGCCCTCAATCTCAGAAGTGCAATGGAATAGTCACGGTAGCGGCTTGTCCTGAGTGCAGGACTATTGCATAATCGCATATTTATGTATGATAAGTTACTTATAGTTTTTATTAAAGTCCTTAGTTTGTAGATTGATGACATTTCTCATGCTAATTTTCCGCCTCTCATGATCCTCTCTATAAACCGAATCATCCTATCTAAGATATAGACACGTATCTAGTGCTAATTCGGAACCAATAATTGTGTAAATGCCAGATTGCTCTGTACATACATAACTCGAAAGAAAGCTCACTGACACTGATTTGTAAGTATGTGCGAATATACCTACAGACAGCATATAATTCTAGTTAAATATATACAAATTGATATAGAAGTCTATAGACGATTTTTTGTAGCAGCATTTGAGAAATATTAAGGACTTTCGTTTGCTATGAATTTCCAAAAAGGCAGTCTGAAGAATATTATATCTTAATTAATGTAAAATTTACCTACTTGATAGAGCTTTTTTTAATATTTGAAAGAAAAAAACTTAAAAAAAACAAAATTTCTAAACTTTAGAGATCAATTTGTATTGAGATCTTTAATATGGTCTTTTCAAAACCAAAACAATCAAGACAATTGATTTTGAAATCGATTTTTTTCCAGCTCTATACAGTAGGTAGCCATGCTTATAAAAACATTCCATGCTCCCTTTTTTAAATGTAATATACCCATGTATGTTTATTTCTGTATATATTTACGGAGTTTACCAATTAGAAATTAATAGAAATTAAAAAAAAAATGAAAAAGCTTACCTTTTATTTTAATTTATCCATTTCCTTTGGAAGTTCATAGCACCTATCGAAATCGAAACAAGAGATGATTTTTATTTCCTAAGAAAGCCTAAATTAAATAAAAAACAAGACCAAAATCGGAAAAAAATATACAAAAATTTGATGATCTTTCATTTATGTTCTTGACTAAGCGTGATTTGACATAATTCGTTGGCTTGTCTTGGGGGAGGTTTGGATTGGTTGGTTGTCTTAAATTGCTGTGGGAATATGGCCCAGTATCGTGTGAATATGTTTAAACAAAACAAGTGCAGTTCTTCCCACGATACCTGCCGCCAACCCCCTTTTGGGGGAAGCCGACAACTTTAATTATTATAGTTCGTTCGGTCGGCATTGCTGATGAAAGCTAAGCCAAGAAGCGAATATACGTATTGTTTCCGTTTTGGCCCGGCCAAGGAGTAGAAGTTTCTCACAGCCCAAAAGCTGCTGTGAGAATTTTTCACTGCCTTTTGTTGAATATTTATGCAGTTTTAAGCCAACTGCTGGGCCTTTTACAGATTTACAATCTTAGAGATTCGCAGTTTTGAATTAATTATCGCCGACTTCCGCTCAGCGGAGAGAAGGTGAGCGCCAGCGAAGCAATTAAACTCATCTCCCCGTCCCAGTTGGGAGACACATTTCTTATCAGAGTCAGCCAAGCAATAAGAAGAAGTCGGAGACGGCACCCTTGCCACCCCTAAGATGCACTTTTCGGTGTGAGAACGAAAGACTTAAACAACAAACCTCGGTTGCGTGAGAGAAAATGAATTGAAACGATGATGATGATGTTGGAAAAACCACCACCAAAATGTCCGGGACGGGACTCTTAATTGGAACTGCAACCTCTTAAGGTCGCCGTCGTCGTCGTCTTATAAGAAGCTGAATATGAAATTAGTTCGGAATTTTTAATGAACATTCATTCTTTCCCCTCACATTTCCCCGAACTATTCTGACCAAGGTATAAGTGCGATTATTGCGGTTGCTGCTAGAAAGGGGGAGACAGCGACAGCAATTTCTAAAAGTTCTCAGGACTGCTACACAACTTCATACCTGACTACTAAAAAAAAGTTAATTATCTTGAAAAAATCTAAGTCTATACACAAGTCTTGAGTCGTTCCGTTCGTCTGTCGACTGCTGTTGTTTTTCACACGCTGGGGAAAAATGGAAATTCTTGCAAAATACAATGCGTGGGAAATCGTTTGCGTGGGAGTCAGCCAAGAAAAATCAAGGGAAACTATATATTTATATATAAAGATATGGTATTCACGAGACTTTGGACACGTACTCAGTTTTAAGCTGCTAAATCAAAAGAAATTCGCTCAAATAAGACTATCGATTGTAAACTTATTAAAGTTAAGAACTTTTGCAATTAAACCAATTAAACCAAACCCATTAATCACTAATTTTAGAAAATATAAAAATATGGTAACAACTTAGGGGGTCACTGGTAGATCTGTAAAATTTAGTATTGTTTAATAAAATTTTAATTTATTATTTATTATATTTTGGCAATCATTCACTTTTTTATCTATATAATTATAACACTTGGCACATAATATTAGAGGTAAAGCAAAAGCCAATTATAACGTTGGTAGGATTAATATAACAAAATGTACCTTAGAGTCCATTTTGACTTTTACGGTCTTGGCGAAAAAATCCTTAATTCAGAAATCATTAAAAATGCCCTGTCCCTTAGTACATAAAAATATGTTAAAAATCAAGGCTATATTTTTTCCAAAAATTTATTGATCATTTATAGGAAAGCTATTTGATATAGTGGAAAACAAAATGGTGTTGAATATATGTATATCTACATACATATTTATATCTATCGACCTAAAAAAATTGCAATTTATTTTATGTGGAAAATTTGATATTATATATACACATATTAAATTAAAATAACATAAAAATAGTTTGGAAAAATTTGGATGCATTATTTTACTGATTATTAATAATTTATTTATTAAATTTTGTTTTTTTTTTATAAATATAAAAAAAAGTAAATATAAAATATTAATAACAAGAAAGAAAGCTAACTTTGGCCAGCCAAAGTTTGTATACCCTTGCAGGTAACAATTAAAATATATCATAACTATGGCAAAAATGCTTTAATTTCGATTCGGAAAGCAGTTTTGTGTTAGTTTTTATTAATTTAATAAAACTGCATACCAAATTAAAAATTTTAAGAAATCAAAATTTTTGGCCATTTTTGCTAATTTTAATGATGTAACCCCTTATAAAATTTCGCAAAAATGCCCAAAAAATCGATTTCTTCCGGACATGTCTAGAAAGATTCGCATGTTAATGCTGATCAAGAATATATATGGTTTATGGGGTCGGAAATGATTCCTTGACTTAGAAAAATATTATTTTTTATTATAAAATCGGATTTTTTATATTAAAAAACTTCTTGATTAAAAATATCCTAACTCGGCCAAAAGAGCATTAATTTTAAATCGGAAAACAGTTCTGTGCAAGATTTTCTACAGTTAATAAATCTGCATACTTCATTTTTATTATAAAATTATTTTGTATTATAAAATCTTATTTTCTTCACTGCGTTGCAAACTTCTGACTGAAATTATAATACCCTGCAAGGGTATAAAAATACACAGTCCTCGGGCCAGCCACTTCAAATTTTTATTTGTTTTTAAAATAATTAATTTTAAATATTATTTTAAATAATATTTTACTTCAAAGCTCAGTCGTAATTGGTATAAATACTATTTTAATTCCATGTTTATCAAAACATCACAACAAACACGCCATTAATAGGGTTTATATTATAAACTTACGTGCGAAAACCATTTCGGCTATACAAAATTCAAAAATAAAAGGGTGTATGTGGTTTTAAATTACGATTATTAAATCATGGCCGTCATATTAACTATGCAAATACATAAATAGAAAGATGGATTCATCAATTTTTTTTATTATTTATTTCTAGATATTGTTTCTGCAAGAAAGTACTACGTTATATTTGTTATATTCCTACGTATATATTTCTGTATACTGATAAAAAATATAAAATCTATATAACTATATCTAATATAGAACCGATAATTCTATAAATAAGATTTATCAGGATTGATTAAACTTAATGTAAGAACTTATTTGAATTAGAATTACGCTATTTTCGTGTGCAAATCACCTTTTTTTTCAGTGTAATGCACTTTATTGTGAAATACCAAGAATCCAATGCACCTCTAGCACCCCCACAGTCCAAATTAAACCATTATGATAAATTGTATATAATTTATTAAATAATAGAACATTTCTATGTATTTGATACAAAACGTCATCAGTACAGATATGCAGTTAGGATATACAAGGAGATAGATGCAAAATGTGTAGATACAAATGCTTATCTATGGATATGTCGAATTGCTTCTTCATACAGACATCATATTTAATACCGGAATGTGCCGTAAAAATACCTAAGAGAGTTACGCAAAATTTATACAACAAAATAAACAAAAAAAAAACATATATAAACAAAACAAAGAGTGAAAATTTGTTTGGTATAATCGACAGCTGAACAAGACCAAAAGCGGAATGTGCAATTACAGCGAAGGAATGGTGGAGTGGTGGGTGTGAGGAGTTACTTACAGCTACAAAGTACTAAGCTTGATAATAAGTTATTGCAATTGTAATTTATAATTATTATAAATATTTGCGGAAATTAATTGTTTAACTAATTGGCTCGAATGGTTCGATTTTTGTTCATATTGGTCAACATCAACGAAATATATGAAGTCAGCAGATCGTCCATCTTGTAGCCAAGCGACGTCTCGCACAGAAGTTTCGAGCCCCGAACCAGATTGCCGATCGTCATGTGGAAATATGTATTGCCAGACGACCAGTTCGAGATGCGTGTAAAGGGATGTGTGACCAGAATGTCCTGTGAATAGATATGTAGAAAAATATTAAATATTATAATTTATAATAATTACGAGCTCCTTACCTTGGTCACTGGATGGATAAGACTCACGCCGTGCTTGTTAATGGCGATCAGTAGCATTTCGGGATAGTTCGGTTCGGTGGTTTGCTTAACCTCGAAGAAAGCGGAGCCAAAGGTGGGCCATCTGGTGATAATAATTATAAAAAACAAATGCTTTCATCCAACTATTATAAGACAACGCACCTGTATACAATCTTGAGGAAGGCCACCTTGGCATCTTCGGAAGTCATGCCACCATCCTGGTTATAAGAGGCCACAATCAAGCGCTTCCATTCGCTAGTGCTCTGCATCTTCATGATGTCCGAAGGTATTAGTTCCCTCAACATTTGCCTAATATAAAAATAATTATAAGTCGAAAGTAAATAAAAGATAATGTCTGCTTACGGTATTGCCTGAAGCTCCTGTTTGTTCTCCCCGAAGCGCACACGGAATACCAGGGCCGCCAGCTTGGATGCCTCCTCCCTCGAACACTTGTGGTAGCCGCGCAACAGCTTCGGCAATTCCTGATGATAGTGGAAGATAAGATCGGCATTGCGATCCTTGCCCGGCACTGTGTTTGTCCATAGCTTCTTCATGAAGAAGACCTGGTATGTGAACTGTGGATTGGCTCCGTCGCGTATGGGTCGCGCCTTCTTAATCCAATCCGTCAGGTGACGCACGAAATCAAAGAAGAAATCCCCTTCGGGAACCGAGATAACCTTATCGGCAATCTTTACAAACAGGGAGAAACCCTCGCTGGTGCGCAGCGACAGGCGTTGAGAGATATTATTGCAAAAGTCCTTGGCCCGGGTGGAGCTATCCACCTCAAAGGCCTCGTCTGTGTCGTCCGGAAAGTAGACTTTATGGAATATTTGTGTTGTCTTGTGCTGTATGGCCTCCACCTCCACCTGATGCGGTGGATACTTGCGTTGTCCATGGCGTATGGTTTTTTGCAAACGATGCATTGAGTCCTAGAAATGGTTAAATGTATATATATTATAAGCTATGCCTGTTAATCGAATTTCTCTATAAAATTTACCTGCGAAATGGGATGTCGCCGGCTGCGTAGGAAGAGCAACAGTTCTTTGAGCAAGCCTTGTGAGCAAGCAAACAGACCTGTAGCCAGCCACATCAGCTCCCAACCACGCTCCTCGGACATGCGGTTACGATTGTCTGTCA